TTGGCTGGAATAACCAACTCTTAATACTCTTCAGCCGAGATCCTTATCTCGGCTGAAAAGTGGTTGGCTGGAATAACCAACTTCTAGTACTCCTCAGCCGAGGTAAGAACCTAGGCTAAAAATGTTGTCAGGTATGGCCAAACAGATTACAAGATGAAGACCGAGATAGTTATCTCGGCCAGAAAATGTTATACTTCACACAGATTACAATTGAAAAATGAAGTGCAAGTATGGAACAGACCGAACAAAAAGAAGAAGATTTTCATTTAAAATCTAAGACAAGAGTACAAAAGATGGGGCCTCAGCCCGGTTACAAACTTTTTTGTTAAACAAAGAAAAGAAAAATCAGGAGAAAAAGTCTTCCAAGTCGGTGTCCAAATCAACCCAGGCTTCACTCAGAGATAGCTCGGTTGTGGCAAGCACACCTTGGTTGAGCTCGGTCGAAGGCGGGATAGAGACCAGTGGAGTAGGAGAGGTAGACTGGCGACTGGGTTGGGTGTTGTCTTCAGGAGCAGGATCCTCGTCATCCTCCCCTTCTTGAAGAATTTTTTGCTGAATGGCAGTAGCGTACTCCACCATGTAGCTCAGTATGAAATGTGGAGGGGGGTTTTGGATGACCTCGGTCTCTTGGCCGTGACCGAGCTTGGCCGCAGCCGCCTTCCATCCACATTTGAAGAATATATCTTTGGTGGCTTCGCATTGTTGGATGTAAGTGGCCTCCTCCTCCTTGTAACCTCGGTCTTCAGCGTCTTCCACGCTCTTCTCCAACCGGGCAATTTCATCATTCTTCTTTTTCTCGAGCTTGGCCAGCTCACATAGATATTTGTCTTTCAACTCGGCCGCAGCCTTTTGTTTATCTGATTCAGCCGAGCTGACAAGACCGGTCAGGCAGGCCATCTCGGTATGTAGCTCGACCATTTTCTTCTTGGCCTCTTCTAGCTTGGCTGATTTAGCATTAGCCTCAGCCACGGCCTGCCGCGTGGTTTTTCGAAGCTCCAACACGCGCTTGTGAGCGACGTGGTTCTTTTGTAAGCCCTGCAAAAGGAGAGAAACAATTTTGAGCTAAACCGAGCGAACAGATATACAAATTAGGACAAGAGAAATGAGAACTTACCAGCACCATTGATTTTGTTGCCAAACGAATGGCCTTCAGCTCGGTTAGACGGTCATGGTGCTCCATATCAATTGGAAGACATACGCTCTTGGCAAGGTTAAAAGCCAACGAATGGTCTTTTTTGGCAACCACTGAGTCAGAGTCAGTGATAGATCGGTTCTTGTAGGTGACCTTGGGTTCCCATTCTGAAGGGCTAGCCCGGTCTGAACGTACTAGTTTTGGGCTAAGCTGGGTTGGCTGAGGAAGTATGGTGTCTTCTTCATTGACAAGGCGTGGCTTGGTTGTGGGGGTCCAAGTGCGCTTGCTTGGCCGTGATGTTGAAGGCTGGGCAGTTGGAAGTGCTACCACGGCCTCTTGTGATTGGCTGGCTAGTGGTACCTCGGTTTGGTTGGTTTCAGTAATGAGTGCTCTGACTGCCCTCTTCTTGGTCATTTCTTGCTCTTTTGTTAATGGAATGAGGTTGATTTGTGGAAGGGTTAGATCGAGTTCTGGTGATGGCTCTAGAAGGAAGTCTGTCACCCTGGTCTTCCTCCTTTTACTGTATCTATATGTCGGTTCAAAGTTGAGTAGCTCAGCCTAACCTCCATCGCAATATCTTAGTGCGGCGCAGAGTGCGTCAAGATTGGGGTAGCTGTACTGCGACTTTAAATGGTTCAAGTCTGCACGAGAAAAAAAGCAACGGTTAGCACGGTGCAAAATACATAAACAGGGTAAAAAACACACAAAACTGAGCCGAAGTATATATACCGGCTACTCCTTTATTCCAGTTAATTCGGTCGCCCGGGATCTGGGCCTCCTAGTCTTCAAAGTTGCCCGAGACCCAGAAAAAATCATTGTCGTTTGTATCTTTGTCTGGTGTGTTTTTAATTATTTTCTCTCGGCGGCGTCTTATTCTTAAATAATACACCCAGCCGTCTTCATTCTGGCCGAGGGAGTATTGGTGAAATAGCTCGGCTAAATCGAGGTTGAGGTCAAGCCGGCGGTTTAGCTCGGCAATGCAATTTATTATTTTGTATGAATTTGTGGAAAGCTGGGTAGGGAAAAGTCTTGTTTGTTTGAGGAATTCACAAAGAAGATGCTGTACAGGGAATCGGAGTCCGGTTTCTACAATAGAAAGGAGGGTGAACGGAACGAAGCCCGTTTTTCCCCAGGGAGTGGTGTCTAGTTCGGCTAAGCTAAGATGAACATCATCAGAGATGTTGTAGTCCCTTCGGAACTCGGCCATAGCCCTTGGAGAGTTGACTAAGAATCTGTATTTACCCATATGGACTTAAATTAGGTATAAATTAGCTCGATGCTGGGATGGTGATGAGTATCTCGGTTGAAGCATTCAAAGGAGTGCCTGGCCAACCTAAGTCAGTCTGCAAAGTGAAAAGGAGAAGTGTTAAGCACAGATCGATGGACCGTGCTAAGTACAAAGGCAAAATAAGTATAAGCCTAGCTCGGCTACATGGAATACTATTTGTTCTTAGTTCGGTTGGTGCAGAGGACTTTTCCCCGAATGAATGAAACTAAAGGTTTGGCATGAGGTTTTAGTTCGGTCACTAGAAGAGTTATCTACTTTGGCTAGGTTCACGCCTAAAGATACAAACAACTTCCTAGTTCGGTTGGAGTATTATTTTGGATCAAAAGCGTCGTTTCTCAGAATTGTTTGTGAAACTAGTGGTTATATTACATGGTTTTTAATGGTTACTTCCCAAAAAAATGAAAGCCAAAATAGTGTGTGCGTTTTGAGAAACATACGAGTATTATGCTACATACTTCAGAAATTGTACATACAAAAAGGAAATGGGAATAAGTTACTTACAATTTGAAAGCAGAAAAAAGCAGATCAAAGCCGCAAGAATAGTGGGAAGAACACAAGCTTTGCAAGTGCTGAAGGTTGTGAAAATGGAGATTTAGAGGGAAAGAATTTAGCAGAAAGAGAGAGAGAAGATGAACAGAAATAATGTGGTTTGAAAAAATAGGGTTTTTGTATAAAACCTTGGTTTGGGCGGGACTGTTCAAAATTCGTGAGATACAAAGTCAACGTTGACAGTTGTACTCAACCAGTAGGGGCCAGCCACGTGTCTATGGGAGAGCAAGCGATTCAGATGTACAGCGTGACTGAAGAGACATTTTTTGACCGAACCACTCGGTAGCCTGGTGACAATCTAGCTCGGCTGTAAGACTAAAATTTTAGCTCGGCTAGAGAAGAGTAAACCCAAATCATGTTGCGCAGATGGAATTAAGGGGCAATTGAGAGTGTAATTTGTAAACAAATTGGGCCGAGCTAAGGAAGGGCCTTCTTTGTAAGTTAGGCCGCACAAATGGGCCGGGGTAAAGGGATGACATAGCCCGGTCTTTGAGCTAACGAGTTGGACCAGGTGAAGTTGGACCGAGCTAAGCATCGCACATAGTAGCACCGAGCTAAGGTCGTCATTGGGCATGGTTCGATCAGTCTTAAGTAAAATAGCTCGGTTGGAGTATGTCCAACAGAGGTACAAATGGTGAAGGGAAGACCCGAGCTAGGCAGAGCTCGATCTAACCTGCCACATGAGCATGGCAATACTAGCTCGGTCGTTTGGTCATACCACCGAGCTAGAACCATCTCACTTGGTTTATGCAGTGAGGGGGGTGTGAAAGAATAAGCATTATCTTTCAGGAGTGTGATTCCTAGGAGGACTCTACATGGAGGAATAAGAGTCCTACTAGGATTGTGCTATGCGGAACCTATAAAAGCTCACAACATCACCTATGTAGAGGTAACACAACTTTGATTCTCGAATACACAGAGCTTTTGTCTATTTGTCTATTTGTCTATTTTACTGACTTAGGCATTGGAGAGGTATCCGGCACACACCCGCCGGCTAGCTCATGTTTGTGTTTTCAGGGAGTAAAGTGACGACATTTGGAGGAGTGCAAACTTGATCAACAGGATTATACGAGAAGATTATTTCGTGCTCGTACAATATGTTAAACTATTTTTCATTTTAAGTTTCCCAAAAACTGAGAACGAAAACAAAAATGAAAGCATTGGCAAACAACCTGTTCCCAACTCTTGTATTCATATGTAATTTGAAAAGTTTGAACTATTTTTGTCGATATGATTAAAAATATATAAAATTACAATTTATGTGCAGATGACACGGTTATTTTTGTTAATATGTAGTTAATATTGTTTCCTCTCTCAGACACACACAAACAAATATATGATCATGATTTACAATATTTCTACTTTTATTTGGATTCTTAAATTTGTATATCCTTTATTTGTGTAGGTGTCTATAAATAGCACCCACCCATAGCTTTACAGGGGATGGATTTTGAAGAGACATTTTTTGGGAAAAAACTAATTTCCCTTCTCCATTATCTACCTTGAGAGTAAAAGTGGGAGATCCATGGGAGAGCCTTGCCATTATTCTCTCTCTAACTACTTTGCATTCTTCTTCACCCAATCTTTTATCTCCATTATCTCTTTGCTATTATGTTCTTAGTTGTGACTGTTGAACAATCTAAGCCTCTCATCATTTCTAGAGAATTCGAGTCTTCTTCAAAGATCTTCGAATTTTCCCACAACATTCTTGAACCCTCTCATACAATAGTAGGTCCCAAACAAGTACTGAATTTAATTCGTGATGAACTCAGATTTGAATAATGGGTTGTGTTTTCAAGTGGATGACCATAAGTCTAGTTTAATAGCAATGGATTTGTTTCTGACTAGATCAGTCCTGATTTTCCCCATCTAATTGTGTGAAGGATCATTAAAACCATTCAAAATTGAATTCTTTTGTGAGTGGTGAAATAGGATACATGTAGTTAAATAACCAAGATAAGTTTTTCTTGACTTGTTTCTTTACCATCTAAATGGTTTGGTTGTTTGTATTTAGATCGTCTGTGCAATTGGATTGCATTAAAGGCATTTGCATAGCTTATTATTTTGTGTAGGTATTGATCAGTAACTGTGTCACTCCAAGTTGCTCGTTTAAACAGGGAGATTAACAAGGCGTTCTGTGGCTTTTTCGATCAATCTAAATGTCAGCAGTATCAGAGACTGTTTCAAGATGATAAATTTTGCAGAGATCAGATTGATCAAGATGTTAAAGGCCTCATAGGCATATACAGGGATTCTCATTTGGTATTGTTCTTTCTCTCAAGTTCAATTTGAATAAAATAATATTGGGAAAAATTCAAAAAACCCCACTGTTTGACCCTTGTGACAAAATAAACCCCAAGTTTTAAATCATGAACTTTTAAAATGATACCAATTCCAATCATCCATCAATATTTGTTAACTAAAACAAACGATGAAGGGATAAATTTGCCATTACGGTCCACCACCTCGCCGGCTCCCTGCCGCCACAACTCCTCCCTCCATCATCTCCCACAATTGCCACCAACACACCCACTATCCCCTTCCCCCGCAACTGCTGGAGAGAGAAAGAGAATGGTGATGGCCCCACCCTATCTCCCCCGGCCACCGACACCCCCACCCCCACCCTCCCCTTTCCCTGCAGCTGTTGAAAGAGAAAAATACAGAGTTGAGAGAGAATAATAGGAAAAATAAATGAAAACCAATTTGGGAACCCTCAATTTGGGGCCTCGGTAGCATTTTATCTCACTGTAAATACTGATGCATTCTACCAAAGTACCCAATAATGAAAATTTTGGCTCAAATATGCAATCGATATAAGAATCGTGGATACAATAGACCGCATCATATCAATCTTTCAAAAGAGTACTACTAGAAAGACAAGGCAAATAAGGAATTAGCCTTCCCTTGCACTGATGTAAAAAGAATCATGAATGAAAGAATCACAGCCCTCCTACTACCAACTCCTATTATTACTAATAGAAGAAAAAGGAGAAAAAGAGATCACCCTCTTTACTTAGACAAGACAACTGCATTGATCACTGTTTGAGCATTTCTGTATAACTCCAATTTCTTTGCAAGGTTAATACGCCATTGCATTATTGCTGGATCCTCATCCAATGAGCCCAACTGTTTAGCCTACAAAACAATTTGGAAAGATAAATAAGCAACAGCCACCCTGGTCCTCCCCTTTCCCTGAGAAACCCCTTCCCTCCCCTTCCCCAGCATTGGCCGACCCCCCTCCCTCCTGTAATAGATGAGCCCCTTCCCCTTTTCCCGAAATCTGGAACCATCTTCTATTAAAAAGAATAAAGATAAAAAGAGGAGAGGGACATAGATCAAATTGACAAAAAAATATCCAATAAGAATTATGTATATTGACAAAATTGTCCCAATTCCGTCAAGACTACTTAATGAATATTGACAGATGGTTGGAATTGGTATCATTTTAAAGTTCAGACTTTAAATTAATAAAATTAAAATGCATAGTTTAATTTGTCACAAAGGTCAAACCCTATAGAATATTTGCATCACTTGATGTTTTTGCCTTGACAAAGTCTGTGCTGATGAACTTTAACTGTCACTTCTTCATTGAGCTTGGATTTTCATAAATTTTGGATTTTTTAATATTTTATGTGTCAAGTTGCTTGCTTGATTGTTTTGTACTTTCCCATAGTTGCGCGAAGCACCATCAACTTCATCTGAATCAAATCAAGGAATGTTTGGGGACAAACCGATAAGGACTTCTGAACAAAACTATAGTCAGCATGCGGTTCATGAAGATAAAATAGGCATTGTGACGGGGAATTGGGGCTGCGGTGCTTTTGGGGGAGACCCGGAACTTAAGGCCACAATTCAATGGCTTGCTGCTTCTCAGGTGATTTTCTCTGCTGGCCTCCCTTTTTTTCTTTTCTTTTTTTTTGCTGTGGACCTTCTATTAATTTGGCACCTCAATTACTGCTCATTGTAACAAACAAAGTGTGCTGAAAATTTTCAGGCATTGAGGCCTTTTATCTCTTATTATGCATTTAGTGTGGAGGCATTAGAGACTCTTGACCAGGTACTTCTTTCTGTCTGAAGCTGTTAAACTTTGAACTTCCTAATCATTTCTGATTAAGCCAGTACTACCAATTTATATTTGTTCCATGTTCAGTGGGGACAAAAAAAATAGTTCATGCTATAAAAGTCCTTTCTAACTTTAAAATTATGGATGGACCCAGTTAAATCAGTATTTACCAAATTGCCACCAACAGTGTACCACACTCGTCATTTTGATGCATATTAGTGGTGGTAATTGTGAGTTACTAGAAAGTAAAATCTATGCCCGCTAAAAAGATAGGTGGTTTTAGCATTTAATTTGACACCCACTCTCTCTTTCTCTCTCTCTCCTCTCTCTTTTCGCACCTAACAACCCTTCTCTCTCTCTCAATCTAGAGTTCCAATATGGCTGTGAAGATGTCAATTATCAACCAACCATAAACCATTGCTCATGTTTCTTGCACACACACGCACACAAAGAGAGAGAGAGAGAGAGAAGATGAATGGATTTGAGAGATTGAGCACAACCTAGAACGGGGACATAGAAAAGTGAACTCTCTACCCAAGTCTTGGCTATAGAGAGAACCAACTTCGTTGGGGTTTCATTGCAGAGACCTAGTTCTGATCAAGAACTTGTTCAATTTTCTCACCCTCACCAATGCCAATCTGTTCAAATTGAAGGTCTCTCTCTCTCTCTCTCAAACACACACACACATACACACACACACACACACACATACACACATATATATATATATATATATATTCGTGGATTCACCTCATTTCTGGCGATGATGATAGTTTCCGGCGGTGATGATACTGGATTCACCATCATTTATGTTCTTCTGTTCATAGCTTTCATTGGCCTGTCTTTTCTCACTATAGGGGTAAAAATCAGCCTTTCAACTTGTTATCCTTATCCACTTTCTTTTCTTTTTCTTTTTAAAAGAAAAAAATAAAATTATTTGTACATTTAAAAAAGAAATCAGTTCTATTTTGTTGTGATTGATTGAAATTTTTTTATTCGTGGGCTGCTTCAACTTGCTAGTTCTTATATATAGATATACATACATATATATATATATACACACACATACACGTATATTTATGTTCTTGATTTTAGTGTAGGTTCTATATCAATTGGTTGGTTTTAATTCTTTATGAAATTTTGTTTGCTTATTTTGGAAATTTGAGTTTTCGAGGACTTGCATGGGTTGGTGCACTTTTGATTTTGAGAATTTAGATCTATAATTGGGGGGGAAAACCCAATAGAAATGACTAATTTGCTTTCTAGACAAATGAATTACGCAGTACAAATCTCCTTCGTTGTTTTAATTGGCATTCATTATTTAAGGATTCGGATTTGTTGTCTATGTTGTGGACTTACAGTTTTACCATCTTGTAATGTTTGGTTCATTTTTTAGAACTTGTTTTTCATTTTTTTTTTATAAAAAAATTAGTAACTAGTTTGAGGTTCTTTCTCTTGTTAATGCTGAGGTTCTTTTTTTGGGAAGAAATTTTCTAGGAAGAAATTTTCTGGAAAGTCTAGAGAAATTTTCAGAATTTCTCTCTGGGAAGAAATTTTCTGGATCGATATTGAGAAACCTTAGATGTTATTGGACCTTAGACGTTATGAAATTCCCAGAATTTCTCTAGGGAAGAATTTCTCTAGAGAAGAATTTCTCTAGAGAGAACTCTGGGAAGAATTTCTCTGAAAAGTTCAGAGAAATTTTCTGGATCGAATTTTCTCTGGATCGATATTGAGTGACCTTGGACATAATTAGACCTTAGACATTATGAAATTCCCAGAATTTCTCTGGGAAAGAATTTCTCTAGAGAGAACTCTGGGAAGAATTTCTTTGGTTTTGGAAAGTCCAGAGAAATTTTTTGGATCGAAATTTCTCTAGATCAATATTGAAGGACCTTGGATATTATTTGTAACGCCCTCAAAATAATAACATTAAACCCATCCATTGAGACATTCATTGACATAAGAAATAACCATACTATTCCATTTATCAGAGTTCCCATACAAAAAGTATTACATGTTAACAACAAAAGCAAATGCCCTACGAGCTTACAGCTTTCCAAGTTAACACTTGGTTACAACAAAAGAGTACTAACTCATACACATTAAGCCCTTGGCTTGAATTTACATGTAATACATCAAAAGAAAACGACAAAAGTATGTCCGCTTATAGCCTCCCAAGCTATGTCCTTGGAGGTGGCATGCTACCTGCACCTGAAAATGATATTCCCATATAGGGTGAGCCACAGCCCAGTAGAAATACACTAAACCAACCATGAACAATGACTAAAAGATTAGCAATTGATAGATGGCCAACAATGACTAAAAAAAATTATATATTCTTGTAGTGAATGAAAATGTGTATATTTCGTAGTGAGCAAAATATTAAGTTGGCCTATGTGTCTAGGGTGAGCAAAAATTATACATGTATGTGATTTTGAGAAAAATGGGTGAATGTAGGAATGAGGTGTGCATCACCAAATTAAGTTGGCCTATGTGTCCAGGGTAAAAGTCCTGAAAAACGCGCACATACATAGGTGCCAATTTCTGCGGACGAAATATCCGTAAAATGGTAATAGTAGGGCTTGCATAGCCTACGTTTACATGGGTCCCGTTTGACGGTTTCCCGCGGACGAAATATCCGTGAAAGGCTATACGAAGTTGAGTTTCCCCCTATTTTCTATTTTAAAGGAAATGATTTGGAGAACTATGACATAGACCCAGCATTATGTGGCTTTTGGGAAAGATATAAATTGTTTTGTCATGAGCATTGCATATACATTTTACCCTTATATCTTTATTAAGATTAATACTACAACAATCACGACTATCCTCCACCGATAGCCCAAAATAGTTATTTCTAAACAGAAAATAAATGCACAATGGATATTCAATCAACATTCCATTTCCTCATTTCTCACAATTAATTATCCCAATTAATCAACAATGTAATTAGATCATTTCCATAATTAACATTTCAACCCTTAGGTCTCATTCTCATCAAGGATTCAACATTTATTCCATTTCTCTATGCCAAACATGCATTTAGGTTTATTATGAATAAAACCCCAACTTTTGTAAAATGACACAAAAGCCCCAAACTTTCACAAAATTACCAAACCAACCCCAACATCTCAAAATACTAAAATTTAAAGACAAAATCCATAGAGAGGAGTAGGATATCCCTACCTCGAAGTTTGAGCCAAAAAGGAGATGAAGACTCGAAGATCAACGTGTTCCAAATCCAAACTTTTTCAGATTAAAACGAAGCTCTCAACACCCTCTATCTTTTTAACAAAGGCCCTAGGCTAGATTCACACTCTAGGGAGATCAAATCTTAGAGAGAGAGTAAGTTTAGAGAGAGAGGGTCTCGGATCTAGGGTTTGATCAAAAAGAAAGTGAAAAAGTTAAGTTCAAAATCGCTACTGTCCGCTGATATAAAACACGCTCGCTCGAGCGAAGACTTGGTCGCTCGAGCGACCAGACACAGAAAACTCTCGCTCGAGCCAAGAAGTTCTCGCTCGAGCCAAAAACTCAGAAGTGCGCTCCAGCGAAGGAACGCTCGCTCGAGCCAACAACACAAACCCTCAGGTCTGCAACCCGAAGCACGCTCGAGCGACAGACTGCTCGCTCGAGCGAAGAACAACCAGACCGCTCGAGCGAAGAAAGCTCGCTCGAGCCAAGAAATGCAACTCTTAGGTCCAGAACCAGGTGCAAGCGCTCGCTCGAGCGAAGCCACCCTGGCTCAACCCACCAGACACGAACCCAACTCTCGCTCGAGCGACCAACTCCTCGCTCGAGCGAAGGTTCAAAAATCTAGGCAGCAACACTAGGCTCCCAAACACCACCAACCTGAAACAACCCTGCCAACACATCCTATAACTCAATATACAAAGTAAAGAGGATGCAAACAAGACAATAAACAACTACCAACATCCACGGACACATGTCCGGATCACTGTACAACAAGGGTAAACCCGGGATCGCTATATTATTGGACTTTAGACATTATGAAATTCCCAGAATTTCTCTAGGGAAGAATTTCTCTAAAAAGAACTCTAGGAAGAATTTCTCTGGAGAGAATTTTCTGAGAAGTCCAGAGAATTCTCTGGATTGATATTGAGAGACTTTAGATATTATGAAAATATTAGATGTCCTTTATGCTATAAAATCCTTATATCAGGGACCCTAAAAAAATTCTCTTATTCTTTTATAACACACATTGTACCATCAAGTATTTAAAAAAAAATAGCACGGGCATTATACGGGTCAACTGCTAGTTTACAAATAAAAAAAAAGTTTGAACAAAATCAAACAATGAATACGAATAATAATCAAAAGTTTTTTTTTTTGAAGCAATTCATCAAATTGATCCTAGTTAGGTTCTTAACATGTCTAATCTAATCTAAATTAAAAAGACTTAAAATGCTGTATTCAACACCTAAATTAAACCTTTAATTATTTATAAATTTACAGAGTTAACCCAAAATAAAGAAATAAATAAATAGTTTCCTTCTCACAACATAACGGGGCTGCCAAATGGACCGGTAGGCCCGTTAACAGTTTAAACAAAAAGACCTCCAATTTTACCAAAGCAGAGTGGAAGGGACTACAAAAGAAATGACCTCCAATTTTACCAAATTGAAGCAACATTCACGACATATAATCAAGAAATTTCAATTGCAAGAAAGCAGAACAAAAGAAAGCGTAAAAAACAAAGTAACATTTTCTCAGGAACCAAAACAGAAGGTGAGATAATAAATAATACGAATTGGGCAAAAAGAAGAGGAAGGGAAGGGAAGGGAGCATACAGTTCGAGATCTTTGCGGTGTAGGTCGTTCAACATTTATTTGTATCACAAATTATGATTTTATCATGAAGGGTTACTTGTGAAAAAATATAGAGTATATTAAGAATAAATTATAACCCAAAATAATTTAGTAGAAAGTATTGAGAAATTGGACGTACTAATGCTGTGTTTGGTTGGGGGATTTGAGGAGGGATTTGGAAAAAGAAAG